CGCCTAGGGCACGCAGGCCACCAACTAGCACGGTCATTTCGGGAGCAGTGAGCGTCAACAGCTGTGCCTTGTCGACTAGCATATACTCTGTCTTGACCCGAGGTGTCGATTTACCGTAGTTTCGGAATCCATCGGCGAACGGCTCGAGATGACCAACAGACTCCACGTCCGTTTGCTCTTGGGAAGCATCCATTCGTCCTGGCGTGAAGGGCACTGAAACACCCGATGCCTTCTCTACTGCGGCGACGCCGGCCAATACAATCAGATCAGCAATCGACACTTGCTTGGGTGCCGATGCATCGTTAAATCGCTTCTGGATGCCTTGCAGGGCCGCGATAGCCTTGTCTAGTTGCAAGTGGCTGTTTATCGCCCAGCCGCGCTGGGGGGCTAGTCTAATGCGGGCGCCGTTGGCACCACCGCGCTTGTCGCTGCCACGGAAAGTGGAAGCCGATGCCCAAGCTAGAGACACTAAATGGGATGTGTTCAATTCGACAGCTAGGATCTCCTTCTTTAGGGCGGCTATGTCTTGCGCGTTGACGAGAGGGTGGTTCACGGTCGGGATGGGGTCCTGCCAGATCAGCTCCTCCTTGGGAACCTCGGGGCCTAAGTAGAGGGATGACGGGCCCATATCACGGTGCAACAGCTTGAACCAGGCACGTGCGAAGGCGTCGGCGAACTGGTCTGGGTTCTCTAGGAACCGGCGAGAAATTTTCTCGTAAGCGGGGTCAAAGCGGAGCGACAGATCAGTCGTCAGCATCTTAGGTAGGTGCTTCGCAGCGGGATCGTAGGGATCGGGGATGATGGCATCGGCATTCTTAGCTACCCACTGGTGCGCGCCAGCCGGGCTCTTGGTCAACTCCCATTCGAAACCGAACAGGTACTCGAAGAATTGGTTGCTCCATTTCGTGGGAGTCTTGGTCCAAATGACTTCCAGACCACTAGTGATGGTATGCGGACCCTTTCCAGAACCGTAGGTGTTGGTCCAGCCCAGGCCTTGCTGCTCGAGAGAGGCGGCTTCTGGTTCGCTACCGACATGTTCCTTGGGGCCAGCGCCGTGAGTTTTGCCGAAAGTATGACCGCCAGCAATCAGCGCAACGGTTTCTTCATCGTTCACTATGGTCGCCGAGTTAGCGGGCTCTAGAGAATGAGGGGCGAATAGCTGCGCGTATGAAAGACGCTAAATAAGATGACGTCATTGACAGGTTGCTGGGCATCGCGACATTTACAAGGACGCGATCGAATCGCAGAAGAGTAGTTGGCGGGCCTAATGTGGGGACTGGGGAAATAGCGCTATTCCACGGGCGCAGAAAGGGGATCACTCACTCGCCATGCGACCAAATGTGTCGCGAATGTCGTGGGCTGCCGCAACGGGATCGGGGGTACCATCAGGCCCTTCAGGGTTGACGTAGATGAGACCCATGTGAGCAGCAGCCAGCGGCGTCTCTAGGTCGCCGGTGTGGGTCGCGCCCTCGGGGTTTTCGTCTGAGGAAATGACACCATGGCCAGCAAGACCGGCGCGACCTTTGGCATAGCGGACATCGTTACCTAGCCAGGTGGTCTCGCCACCCCAGTAGGGAACCTCATCCGGCTCCCAAGTGTCCCTGCGGCCACCAGCGAAGCCGAAGGTCTTGAAGCCCATCGACTCGAGGGCGACGTTACCCGTGAGCAGAAGCAGATCTGCCCACGAAATCTTATTGCCGTACTTTTGCTTGATGGGCCACAGTAGGCGGCGAGCCTTATCCAGACCTACATTATCAGGCCAGCTGTTTAGGGGGGCGTAGCGCTGCTGGCCGCAGCCACCACCACCACGGCCGTCAAATACACGATAGGTACCGGCACTGTGCCAGGCCATGCGAATGAAAAGACCACCATAGTGACCGAAATCAGCTGGCCACCAGTCCTGGGAATCGGTCATGAGGTCATTCAGATCCTTCTTAAGCGCAGCATAATCGAGAGATTTGAAGGCCTCGGCATAATCAAATTCCTTGTCGAAAGGGTTGGAGGCGGGGTTATTTTGGCGGAGAACGTTTAAGCGCAGCTGCTCAGGCCACCAGTCTCGGTTCCGGGTACCGCCACCGGCTATATTGGCCTTGACGGGGCACTTGGACTCTGCCATTATGCTTCTCGACGAGGGGTAGGGATTGATTTGTTGGGACTTGCGCGCGCAAATAATACGCGCAGCGTCAGGGCGGGCTCGAGATTGCTGAGCGAAGAGGCGAGGGAGGTGGCGACAAGAAAAAGCTGTTGTCATGCCAATCCCAAGCAGAGACGAGGGGCAAGGACTGATTGATGTATGAGGGGAGAAGAGAGAGGGAGTGTGTAGTAAGGAGGAGGAGAAGGAGAAGAAGAGATGGGCTGCGACAGGAAGTTATCAGCGGCGACGGGCAACCCCGCACTTTATAAGCAACAAGGAGCAGTAAACGCCATCGGACCATTGTGTGACGCTGGTACATGTAAATAAAATCCTCACCTCGCCAGATACACGCACAGATATACATCCACAACAGAGGCAGGCAGGTACCTACCTACAGCATACCTACATGTAGCCAGGTTACCAAGTCCCTGTCCAGTCGGGTGGCTGATGCTTGGAGAGGTCTTATGTAGGTACGCTATGCTATTGGGTAGTAGGTCGTCTAGCGCTCGGCAGTAGTACCTATCTAATACACCTGGGCATACTTACATAACATCCATGGGCCATGGGCTATGGGCCATTGATCCTCACCTTAGCCATGTGTATGTATAGGTATAGGTAGGTAGTAAGTGGGGGATGGGACCGGCGGCTGTGGGCTGTGGAGTTACATTAATTCACTGGATGGGAACCTGGATATGTAGGTAGCTATCTACCCGGGCTACATCCGGCCTGACCTACTTCCGGTACCTTCTGTATATACTGGAGTCTCCGCTGCCTCTAATTGTCCTTCAATTCCCTCCTAGTTTTACATACTTCCTGCCTAACAGAGAGGCAAGTATTCAGACAAAATTCTAGATACCTAGATAAGTATGCGTACGTAAGTAAGCACAGTAGCCCCCAATGCTTAACCAGGCCTGCCGGAGGAACGAACTGCAGAAGCGGCCCCATCCCGCCCACGTACTACGTAAGGTCGTTAGATCGTTGGGTGTAGGCATGGCCAGTCCAGAAAGATGTATGGCCAAGTATGGCGAAGTAAGGTCTTTTCTGAGACGGAGGGTTCCGGGGGTCGTTCGGCAACTGTGGGTACCTAAGTATTTGTTGCCACGTTTGGTTTGGAGGCGCCCAGTATCCAATGCTTGGGTCTGTTTGGTCCGTCTGGTCTGTCTGGGGAAGTTGTGCTGCTGTGAAAGACAAGCGACAAGCTCCCCCTACTAGCTGCATTACTGCATTACCCCTCTTCTGCTTTCACGCACAAAGGAAAAAAAAGACAACCGGGCCACCGACCTCCGACCACTGACTACTGACCACTGGCGATTAGTATACGCATACCTGCAGCAGTGTACGTAGTGTGCATACCTCAATTGATCACCTCTCCGGCGTGTCACACCACTCTGTTTACTAATAGACCGATCCTTTTCGTAAGAGACATGCATGCATTTCCTCCGGGTACGTGGCGTGGAGGTTTGGTTTTAGTTTCAGTCTTAGGACCGCTACCAAACTTCCAGTCAATCAATTCTCGAGCTTGAGCTGTCTAGTTCCCTTTGTTAGTTTAGTTAGCGCCGCCCCGATGATACCGATGCCGATGCCGCCGCCGCTTTGATCGTCGAACCATCTCGTGATGGGGCAACCAGGTGGGCTTGGCATGTATGTATGCATAGTCATGTATGTAATGGGTCTCCTACCATTCGTCGCAGCAAGCAGAGGGGATCCCTACCCACGTTCGCTCGTGGAAATTCCGACGCGGGGTTAGCGGGCGCGCCAAGGCCCATTCAGTTGGGCACAACAGCTGTAGCGTTGGCGCCGGTGAAACCCGCCTTCGTCCGCATCGCGTCCGCAACCCCGCACCGTCCGCACCGTCCGCACCACCGTATAGCTGTAGCTCGTCGAAACCATCATGATAGACTGATTGTCTTGTCTTGATGACTACTCGCCGTTCTTGCTCGTCGTTCCAGATCAGTCCAATACCGAGAATACTAACGCAAACGGGCGAGGCGAGACCCCCATTAACATCAGATAATCAGTCCAGTTTCGTTCTGTTGCAGAAAATAAAGAAGGCGACATCAAGATTACGTCAACTATACATGGGTTGATCCGGTCAACCTAAATGCTAGTCTGATATTGAGTATCTAGCTAACTAACTTTCCATTAGTCTACTTGATTGATAGTTCCTTACCGGTCTACTTAGATAAGTAGCTACCGATATTCGGGTTCTTCCTAAATAGAATCAGTTCCTTACTCGGGATAATTTCGGTGCGCCTTCGGGACGAGGGGAGCAATTATTGCGTTACAGCGATAGACCCGGTACTATCTCATAGTCTCATTGACCTGTATCAGAGGCAAATGTAGAGGGGTGCGAGTGGGAGGCTTAGAGATGGGGAGCTTTGATATCACAAGCAAGCTAAGGGGGAAACGAGGGGCTAATCGAAGTGCGGTACCTGGAATCTAATGCCTGTCCGTATCTATTGCAATAGCAAGAGATTGCGAAGGATTTGTAGGGATGGATAACTGCTAAGCAGAATGGGGTACTCGGTGAAAAGAGCAGGATTGAGCTAGTTACCTAAACCTATCGATGTGAGTGAGTGAGTGAGTGATTGTGTGGTTCCATGAGGTGCATCTATCTAATCTATTTATCTACATGCGGTTCTTCTTATATAGGTACCATATACCATACATACCCACTTCATTATTGTGATACAAAAGGAGATGCCAACCCCAATCGGACAATTGATAGATAGTATATATACAGTCATCGCAGTGTATATGTAGTTGCTGACGTAGGCGTGTTCTATTTGCACATGGGTGGGGAATTGAACAACAACGAAGGAAAAAAAATTGGAAAAAGTTGAAAAAATATCTAAAATAATTATAGTGACCTCGCTGGGGGTCGAACCCAGAATCTCCTGATTATCGTAGAAAGTTCAATTGCTGATTGAAGTCTATCGTAGTCAGACGCCTTGCCATTGGGCCACGAGGCCGATCGTCGGATGAACAGCATCCTAAGTCACGCTACTAAGGTAGCACTCTAATGCCAAGAAATCCATATCTAACCCTCTAATGCAACATCCCTATCGCTTCTTTATCACGATGCACATATGTTAATATTATGGCTAGAAAGCGCGGATCGATTGGTCGATTATTTTGTGGGAATGAACGTTTTGAACGCCGCCAGGCAAAAGCCATTCAGGGCTGGTTTATAGCTAGGCTTCAGACCTCAAGAAGCTATGCATCGACTATGTATTACCGACTGCTAAACATCACACCTTGATTCGCGATATCAGACATCATAAGGAGATGGCACATCAACAATCTCCCCCTTTTCGCGCTTCTCCCCGACCACCTTGTGCCAACGAATAATGAAAGCCGGCCGACAGATGATGGATAGAACGAGATCCTTCGACATGGGTTCTTCAGGTTCGAACATTCCCGTTGAATGTGCCATATAGGGAGCGGCGTCGCAGCTGCAGTACTTGCACAATGCCTCTACGTGAAGCGGCAACAGTGGCTTCTTATCCTGACGTACAACAATGACGCTTCCTACGCCCCACGTCCATGGCACGGAGGGACAACCCCAAGCTGCGGTTCTTCCAGAGTGGTCGAATTCAGCTTCGGGGTCGCAACCCATATGTAGAAACCCGGCGTCAAGATTGCTATAAGGAATCTCGCCTCGAAAGACATCCCAGTTCTTTTCACTCGCCCAGTTTGGGTGAGGGAAGCAGCGCTTGGTGAAGATTGGGAGCCCGATGCGCTCTGCAATGTCTGAGCTGTCGTGTTCGGTGAAGATATCGTGATTTGTGGGTAGGTCGATCGCCTCCAACTGCGGCTTGTTGAACATCTTTTGGTCGCCGAGACAGTTGATCCTGACGCCCTTGATCTTTGGAGTGGCTGGAGGTATAATTGGTAGGGATGATGTGCGATCGGAACAATATGAAGTGAAGTAATCCGCGATGTGTCGGAGGTCACTCATATTGATATCTCTAAAGTGTTCTGGTTCGAGGTTTAGTCCAAATGCCCCATACGCAACGACAGGACCACGCCAATCATGCTGCCATCCTGGCACAGTGTTAGTGATAGCACTTGTACACTTGTTGGGCGCAGATCCATCCGTCTGATAACTATTACGGCAACAAATATGGATTTCGTCAGAAAGGGTCCTTGGGAGAACACGGTTGTACCGAAGCTTATAGATGAACCCAGGATCGCCATCGAGAAATGGCTGGAGATATGCAATGTGCCATATCTCGTCGTAGGGTACTCCAAAATCCGTCTGACTGTATTCAAGCCAGATTAATTTAGGGTGCTTCTGGTCCACTGGGAATAGAATGGCTCGAGTAGATTGTTCTGTAGGCCGTGTTGTAATGTCGAAAGCAGAAAAGCTCGAGCAGAGAAGTTTGTGGATTGGATAATCTCCTCGCTGGCATGTTTTGGAGCAGTACGAGGCGCTTTTGCACCGACTACAGCGTCGACCATTCGGCTTGTTGCAGATGATACACGGATCGGGTGCTTGGGGGTTCTCCATGATGTACTTGCTGGCTAAAGTATGAGTAATGACAAGTCATGCGTAGTATTTGGAAAGAAGTTCGTTAGGAGATTGGAGGAGAGGGCGAGGTTAGTTAAGTATGTTTACATGCTGAAGGTAATGCCTACTCGCGTCAGGCTGCTAGCCTATAGGTTTGGGAACATAATAGGAACAGATGAATGTTGCCTAACCGACATCAGTTTCTAGATATTTGAGACTAGGATAATTACTTCTCGAGTTGTCTATTGCTGAATAGACAAACGGGATTTCTCTCTCTTTTTCTTTACTTTCTTTCTCGTCTTTGTGTAATTATCGGCCTCTAATCATATAATACTGCTGCTGCCTCTGGGACGGTTTGTCTATGTCCTTTGCAAATATGGCACACTCATGCTCCTGCTAGAACTTGCTTCGCGGCTGTCCGCCTAATTGTTATTTACTCCGTACCGTGCATATAAAGCTATTTTTTCTATGTATACCTATTGATGGGATTTTAGTAAGGTAGAGAATGTATCAGGTTATTGTAGGTTCCGTAATGGTGTTCTCATATTAATCTTAGAATAGCACACTAGTTGCTCTTCATGCTTGCCATTGGTCTCTTCTGTCGTTGGGCATGTCGTCTTGCAGTCCTTCAAATCACGACAGAACCAATGTATTACATGCATAGAAACTTTAAGAACTAGCTAGGTGGCCATCGATTGTATTAGCTAGGCTTTGTAGTATCGTAGGTTATGGATGATGTGGCACAGTCGTTGTCCAATTGGTCGAGAAAGACGAGCGACGATACTCTGAATAAATAGTGTTTCGTAATTAATTTTCTGCGCCGAACCAGTGTTGGCCCGTCACCGCACGTAAATTGTAAAGGAACAAGTTAGTCCTTACTGGGTTAATATTAACGAGTTGAAATCTAGTAGCAACGACTGACTTCTTACTGACATTTCAACGTCAGACACTCAACCAAAACATAAAAAATTACCGAGTACCTACCGGTCCTATAGTCTCGATATACACGTGGCGTGGCCGATTGCACTAAGGCGCCAGGTTACGCGAGCAGCTGGGTAGGGCTGAGACTTAGTGCTTGCACATTACGTACCCTTATGATCATTTCGAGAAATCATAAAAGTTAAGGGCAACCATAGTGAGCTAAGCTAGGAGGCCTAGCAACGCAGATAGATCGTAGCTTGGCGCTGTGAAGCTCCCCCCGATAGTCTAAATGTAGCTTTTGGTCTGGATCAGTCTAGATTTGTTGACTGTATAGTGCCAACTAGATCCGGAGTAGTGGGCGCGATATCGACACTACGCTAAGGATTATTCAGCTCTGGAGGGTCTCGACCAAATTTGAGACTGAGACAATTGGTGCGTAGCTCTCATAGGAGTTAGCGCATGGTGTAGTCTGGGCTCTGGCGGGATGATATAAATCGTCTTCACGGGACACAAAGGCCATTTCGGAATACAATTAGCTTCGTATACATCCCTTTATTATCTCCTCGGCCATGGCTGAACAGGTCATCATCAACGGGAATGTCATCTCACAGGAAGATTTGCGCACTACTTCCGACGCAAAGTTCACCAAATACCTACTCCTCAAGGGTAAAGGCCCAATTAATACCGAACGGAAGCGGGAACTTGCCGTGTTAGGTGTGGCTATTCTCGAATACCTTGGCCAAGATTCTTACTTATGTCGATATGACCCGGATGATCTCGAACCTATCCGTGGCCTACCTTTCGTGGAATATGCGTCAATTTACAGTCGTCGCATGAAGACCTCAGCACGCCTTCAAGAGGCCCTCCAAGCTAGCCAGCAGCCTTCCAACTTCCACATCGAAATCGCACTACACGAGGGCGACCACAACGCAGATAATGTTCTGGACCGGCTTAGTGGGCTCGGTATACTTCGAGATGATGTCTCTGTGAACCACGACAAGCTTCAGCTTAAAGTTCCTGACGATGTTCTCCGCGAGATTGCGAAGATTGATGATGTCAGATCCATCGATCACGTTCATGACGACGACTTTTTTTAATAGTATTGCTTTGCTGCTGTAGGCGGCGCGTTCGTCGCAAAGATGGGAAGGGCAGCAGTAGCAACCCTCAACTTCGGTGTAGGGACCATTCTGGGCATCCTACCTAAGCCCACCAAGACAAGCATGGCCTTCATTATGAAGGCCTTCGGTGTTGCGTCCGTCGGCATTTAATTTTCAGTATTGTAGATACTCGCGGTTGCTTTCGTCTCCGCCGCTGCGGTGGCCTTCGCTAGGGGACCCCCCGGCGCAGAACACAGTCTCAAGCTCGATGTCGTCGCTCCAGGAGTCGCTATACTCAGCGCGGCGTCTAAAGACCCAGCTATCACCGACCTCGGTAACTAAGCATTGTCATTCCTTTAGCTGTGTGGTTCAGGCTCCGGTGGTGAGAGGATATATTGGTGATCCCCGGTACTAAAGCCAATTGCCACTTGGTGAGCAGAATCACTGAGTTGAAGAGCAACCATCGAGGCATTAGCTGCTTTATCGTCGAACTTGACATTTCCCATATTGTCTTTTAAGTTCTGCTATAGATGTTGTGCATAGTTAGACATATAAAGCATGCGTGTCGAAAAGTTGAAGATTGGGTGTTCGTATGTCGTTCCCTCCCACCATTCAGCATCTGGGTCACAAGGTTTCTGTAATTCCTGAGCTGAGTTTTCCTCAACTGTGAATATGGACTTATGTATGACTTTGAATACGTTCTTGACCACTTCGCCCTCCTTAGGATTGGGGTCAGGTCCAACATGCGACGCGGCTACGAAATGTTGCTGATGAGACGATAGCGTGAGTGTCACTTTGCCCAACTCGGGGCTCTCGGGTAGGCGATCGAGAAGTACAAGTAGAGTACTCGAATCGATGTTCTCCTGACGCAATATGGGCGCTTTGGGTGAGCTGGACGCGAAAGGCGCGTCAATCTTCAGATCGGGAAACTGGCTGACAACATCGCTCCGTAAGAAAAAGCCGAAAGTAGGCCTTTGGGGCTTATAGCCTAAGACCGGATCTACTGTGTCTAGGTAAGCAACTATAGCCTTCTTAATCGCATTACGAACAACGTCGTTGTCTTGATCCGTATAGTTCGCTAGACTCAGCGCCCCATCAATTAGGGCATCAATCCAGTTTTGGTCGATGAAGAAAAGTCGGAGTGATTCTTTGGGTAGATATGATGGGTCGGCTATGAGATAGTGAGCCGGTATACCGAATAAGAACATTCGATCTAACACCCATTTTAGTACCACAGCCCAGTCTGCGGACTTTGGGGTATTTATCTCATTGTAGAAACCTTCTCCGTCGCAGCTTTGCGCCATATTGAGGGCGGCCTCGTCAATGATGTTGGGGAATTTCCGGTGCACTTCGTCTGCAGACAGGGAAGCATCCTTGATGCCGTCACCGGAAGCATTACGGTTCCATCTCGTGGAGGGCGTTGAGAGATCCGCGTCCCCAG